AGATTCCAGTCTTTCAGAATGGATCTGCTTGGCCCCCTTTCACACAGCCCCAGACCACACAATCACTCACATCACTGAGCTGATGTGGGCCTGCATCCCACATGCTCTGGGGTCACTTCCCCGGCTCCACTGTCAGGCTAAGGTTTGCAAGTCCATAAAACAACTTGCTCAGAACATACTCGAAGGTCTGATGTGTTGTTTATTAAATCATTTTTGATGAACATGTGCTGACTGCATACAAACCCTATTATGAGACAAGTGCTTCTGTGCCTCTGAAAATTGTGCTTATAACTCCGTGTCTTTGGAATAAAGAAATTCGAAAATTTACCCATAGGAAGGCATGGGGGTCTACCAAATACTTGCCTGGCTGACTGAATTTATCTGCAGCCCATCAACATATCCATTTCATTGAGTGCTTATTTTAAAATACATTATTGCTTCCCAAGAGAAAACATAGCCACTTTACTTTGGAAAGCACTTTATAGTTTGCAAGAAATTCTTTTAATGAGTTGTGAGTTAAAGAGGGAAGCTATGTTGCTTGCAATGCTTTACAAATACAGAAAATGAGATTTGTTCAAGTTTACTCAGAGACTAAAGCAAAACCCCAAACCTTGGACTTCACACACTGAGGTCACGGTACCTTCCACACCAACCCACTACCTCGAGTGGCAGAAAAGCCCACTAAGTAGGTAAACATGTTGGTTCTACCACTTACTATTTTGAGGTGACACAAGTTTCTCAGGCTCTGTGCCTCAATTTCCTCATCTGTAAAATGAAGGTAACAGTAACAACAACTGCAATGAGGACTGAGTAAATACTTCTTTAAAAATTGGAAATGTGTCCAATACATAGTAAGCCTTCCAAAAATGTATCTTCATTACTATGTTAGGTGGTTATAATGATCCTTATGGTTCATATAATAATCCTTGTGGTCACAAGCTGTGAGCTTGTCTTATATCAGAACCACTACTCAACAAGGATCACTATAATATGATAACAAGCGTTAGGTTAAAATACTGCTTTGTAAATGTGACAATGGAAAGGATATTTTTAAAAAAGAATTTAATTTAAAAGTGTAATACACAGGACTCTGTAACTGGAGAGAGGCACTCCTGTTGGCCTTGAAGAAACAGGCTGCCATGTTGTGAACAGCCAAACTTCCACATCAGAAATTTGAATGGGGAAGAATCTCCTTTCCCATTCAAACTTCCTGATGAGAATGCAGCGCAGCTGTCACTTTGAAGCCTTGAAAGACCCTGAGAAGAGGGTCCTTGGGTTCCCATTTATGCTTGAGACACATCCAGACTCTTACCCTACAGAAACCATGAGATAAGAAGTATCATTTTTTTAAAAAGGAATATATCAACCATAGCAAATATTTTGTAAATAAAGAAGGAAAAGGGCAAAAACATCACTCTCATCCTTCCAAACTAACCCAATGATCATTCTGGACATGCTCTCCTAGTCTTTCTTCAGACAAATGATTTACTGTATTGTGCATAAGAATATGGAAACAATTTTACAACCTGAATTTTTCACTTACATTATACATATTTTCCCATGAAGACATATAGTCTTCACATGTGGTATTTTTCATGGATGCAAACTTTTCTATCAAGAAGATGAAGTAAAATTAATCAGTCTACTACTGTTAGTCATGTGGCTTCCAATATTTTAAACACTACTATCAACACAGGCACATCTATACCTTTATTTTATTTTATTTTATTTTATTTGAGACAGGGCCTCACTCTCTGTTACCCAGGCTAGAGTGTAATGGCACAATCATGGCTCACTGCAGCCTCAACCTCCCAGGCCAGATGATTCTCCCACATCAGCTTCCTGAGCAGCTGGAACTACAGGTGCACACCATCATACCTGATTGATTTTTTTTTTTTTAATTTCTAAATGTTCTGTAGAGACAGGGTCTCATGTGTTGCCCAGGCTGGTCTCAAATGATCCTCAATGTGCTGGGATTACAGGCGTGAGCCTCCATGCCCTTCCTATATCTTTATTTTTTTAAATATTATTTTGATATTGTCCCTAAGAGGAAGCAACCTGGTAAAAACTATCTCTAAACAAAATATGTCTCTCTTAGCTAATTTAAATAATACTATAAATATTTAGAGTACTAGTTTTACCACATTCTTTTCAGTAGTATCTTAATTTGTAAAACATTGGGTGACAAATGGTACTTTGAAGTTTTACCTTACATTTCTCTAGCTTGGTAGTTTACATGTTTATCTACATGTTTGTTTCAACTTACTGTTTACTCTTAAAAAATTATGTTTCTTCATCTATAGAAAGCAGATAATGCCATGCACTGCACGTAACTGTTGTGAAAATCAGATACAATCATTTAAGTGAAAATACTTACGACATGTGGCAAAGGGCAGTTGCTCAATTTTTAGTTTAATGACTATACTGATGAATAAGTAAGTGGTCAGTTTGATAGAACCAAACAATGGCCAACAGTATTAATCTAACAGTCATGTGGAAGGTAAGCACAAAGCTACTCGTGGGGAGAAAGTAAAATTTTCTAGGTGACCTCCAAAAGATGGCAAGTGGATTGGAAGAGGAGGAATATGTGCCTCCTGTGTCTTTCCTATCAGTGCCTGCCGACCTTCAGAGCAGATATGAAGAGATGTCCCGAAGGGCACAACCTCAACGAGCGGAGACGTGCGAGTCATTCCATGTGCCTCTCTACCTTCCCCTTCACCACTTCCTCCCCAACACCCAGGATGGTTATGATGTAAAAGCTCCACTTCTGCTAATAACAATACTCTCGGCCTTGGAAAATGACTATTCCGGGCTCTTATACCGACTGGTTTAATGGATGGAGCTGGAAGCCATGATCCTCGGCAAACTAACTCAGGAACAGAAAACCAAGCACCGCATGTCCTCACTTATAAGTAGGAGCTGAATAATGAGAACACATGGACACACAGAGGGGAACAACACACAAGAGGCCTGTCGGTGGGTGGGGTGAGGGGAGGGAAAACATTAGGAAAAATAGCCAATGCATGCTGGGCTTAATACTTAGGTGATGTGTTGACAGGTGCGGCAAACCACCACGGCTCAAGTTTACCTATGTAACAAATCTGCACATCCTGCACATGTACCCCAGAACTTAAAAATTGTAAATAAAAAAAGAAAATACAGGGTATCCTCTTACTATTTGAGGGAAAAATCATTATCTATATGATCAAAAGGGAAACTATTGTGAAAATCACTTCATTAAATTACAAAATTGTTTGCTATGTAACTGAAATGAATCATTTTCTCTCCTTAGAAAGTATAGATCCCACAAAAATAGTTTGGTTGAAACATACAAATTGAAGTTAAAATTAAATCAGCTCTATAGAGGACCTACACAGGATGTGAACCTGGTCCTAGATTTCAGCTTCTGATGAAATATCTTGCAGCTCTTGCTCACAGAGAGCTGTTTGAAGCCAGAATGCAAACAATTTTACTTTTCTAATATTTGGAATCTATTCTGACTACATCCATAACAGTGGTTAAAAAATGAATAAAACTATCATGAATGAAATGCATACTTCATTCCTCTGCCTACCAAGTGACCAGCAGTATGAACCTTCTTATCTCTTTGATGCCAAGGACAGCTGTTTGGAGGAGGAAAAGCCTTAGAAGGTGGGTCTGATTGCAACACTTCATCATCAGCTCAGCCTCCGCAATGGTTTATAATTTACTCGGTAAAAACAGGTAGTCAAACATTGGTCAAGACCACGGACAAGCATCCAGGAAGATGTCCTTGCCTACTGAACTGCACGTAGCTGGAAAAGTTATATGGAAGCACCATGTTCCCTTATGAAACACACAGTTGCCCTTGGTCCATTTGCATTTCTTTAGAAAACAGCAATGAGTCAGATCACAGGCATAAGGGCAGGAGAAATGGTTCCGAACAAGAAACCAAAGAATTACCAATTTAAAAACAAGTCAAATTTATATGCTATAAGTACTCATAGGAGCAACATTCTGCAGAGAAGAATATATGTTCTCCAAGTCACCGTACGAAACGACCAAATGAAAAATTTAAAGCATAACTTAATAATGTTGATAAATGAACAGTCTTCATATTAAAGTCATATTACCTTTCCAATAACAGTACCAAGCTAGTCCAATTTTTCAATGCATAAGAAACACAGTTTGTAGCAGGGACAGCCAAACTGTGTAAAACAATCTCCAAAAGTTTAAGCTGCTCAAATAATCATGTATGATCACTGTGACCTGAGACAATGCCCAGGTAATGTCACTGTGATCTGAGAGACTGACTGCCAACTATGTAGAAAAGATGAAAATTGCTCTAGGGCTGAGATGTTTTCAGTTGTAGGAAGGGATTTTTTTCTAAAGAGGGGCATCAAATTGTCACAGCTAGAAGAACTATATGAAATACTGGTCTAGGATGGGTGCAGTGGCTCACACCTGTAATCCCAGCACTTTGGGAGGCCGAGGTGGGCAGATCATGAGGTCAGGAGATCAAGACCAACCTGGCTATGATGAAACCCATCTCTACTAAAAAATAAAATAAAATAAAATAAAATAAAATTCAAAAAATTAGCCAGTCTTGGTGGCACGCACCTGTAACTCCAACTATCCAGGAGGCTGAGGCGGGATAATTGCTTGAACCTGGGAGGCAGAGGTTGCAGTGAGCAGAGATCACGCCATTGTACTCCAGCCTCTGTGACAAAGTAAGACTTCGCCTCAAAAAAAAAAAAAAGTATTGGCCTAATTCTGTCATTTTGCAGCAGGTAATGGATCCCCAAAAAAGTTAACTATGTGTTCAAACTTTCATAATGACTGATATGAACCAGAAAGTCCAGAAAAGAGAATGGAAATTTGCCCTGTTTGTGACACTCAGATTTCTCCAACTGCAACATTAAGTTGTTCTGATTAAACAAAGAACTGCATAAGTAACTGAGAGCAAACGTGGATTCCTGGAAAAAATAATTCAGCACCTTCTTTGTCCCTCTTCGTTCCAGAGCCTGCATTTCCAATCAAGACAGCCAACCTCCCTGGCTTCCAGCTCCAGCTCTCCAGGGCTTTCCCCAGAAGCGCAGACACAGCATGGACAGCCAAGGCACAAGGCCATGGTTTCTGCATCCTCTGTCTTTTCCCAGTTTCCAGAGCCGGAAGTGGTTAGACTACGGCAACAGATTCCTCTCTGGGTCTCTATGATCACAAGGAGCAGAAGTGGCAGACTACACTGGTTTTGCTTGAAATGCAGCATTTCTGCTCATCAGCATGTGGTTGGTTTGGCCACATGAGTAACTCTTCTATATTACAGAATCCATCTCTTTCATCTCCTATCCACACAAGTGTGTAAGTCTGTGGGTACGGGTCTTGTAGTGTTCGCTGCTATATGCCGAAGTGTGTGTGGAGGTGGCAGGAGGTTACATGCATGTGGATAGCAGTGGCTGCTGTTTAGAAATTTGAGTCAGAACCTCCAATATTCTCCCTTCTAAGGGTCTTCAACGAGGATACAGTTTTTGAACCTGATCTCCATAAAAGAATGGCTGGTTATTGCTCTATTCCTAAATGTCCTTAAATGTGGATCAAACTAACATTATGAGGAAGAAAGAAAACTAGCCCTGTGTACCATTGTAGAGTCCCTGACTGCTAATCACCAAGTGACAAAACCACATCACAGTGATGCTTAAAAAAGTAACAGAAAGGTTCTTAAATATTTAAAGAGCCACTATAACATTATATTCTTCCCAGATTATCACACCTATGTAAATAGCATCATTGGGGGAAAAAACACATTTTAAAATCAAAACTATCTTATTCCCTTTTGGAATCAAAATATTGAACTGCATTTTTTAATGCTGTGCATAAGGAAATGGTTTACCTTCCAGCATTTTCTGCAGACTGTTCCTCATGACATGGATGTTCTCTATCCCGATAAACTGAAACTTGATATTGGAATAATTGTCTTCATTCTCATAGCCTTTCCCTGCAGCACGATTTGCCATTGCATTAAGCTGCAGTGGTCAGCAAAACAGAACAGTCATCAATTACACTGATGAAACAATGATGAAACAACCAAAACATTTCATGGATACCCAATCAAAGCATTCAAAATGATGTGCAGAAACACAGTATGCTTATTTGAATCACTGCAACATTGTACAGAACTACATAGCTTCAGGCACTCCTGCTGAGCTTATATTCAACAGCATGAATTTGTTGTGTGGATTACATTTTCTTAGCTGGGAAGCAGTCTACAGATAAATCCTTCTGGAGATGTCTCTTGCAGTCCCCTTCAAAGATGCCAAACTGATTGCCAAATTCTGTGATGGAACCAAGTAGTCCAATTTAATACTACATATAATCCGTAGGTTGGCAGAAGAATAACAGCAGAAACAGCTGTCAATATAAGGCTCTAAACATTATATTATTATGTCTTCTAGTATTACATTGGTCAATAAACATATTATCAAATAGGAATGGTTGCATCATTCTGATTTGCCCACAAGATCCCTCAGATACCAAGTTAAACCTTGAGCAGAAATTACTAAATAAAATGAAGACAAGGAATGCAACCGAGTCTCCAGAGGCATTTCCTCCAGCCATTTTATTTAAATCTAGAGCTCTATTGGACTTTTTGATCACTTTCATTATTGTAATTTTACATATGAGAAGCTGGAGTCTTCAAGGGCAAACTAGGTTAAGTCATAGTGGTCTTTGACGAAATTTATTAAATCCAAACACTGCCCTAGCCCTGCATGGCTAAAATCAAAAAGGTGACAAGTCCAACTTTAGCTGAGAAATACTTAGTCTTCTAGAACCGGAAAACATACTTGCTATTTAATGAAGCAGGTCATCACATCCTGGAAAACAGTATTGACTGACCACTCTCCTCCTCTACCCACCAAGGACAGGAGGGCTATCTCTATGCCAGGAACTCACCGCCAGAAAAAAGATCTGCTTTTAAGAGCACAATGCCATGCAGTACTTTTCAAAAAGCTAAGTTGAAACAGCTAAGTTTAAAGTTAAAGACACATATCTTCTTTGACACAGTTCTCCTAAAAACCTGACGAAACTGAAAGTACCAGCACATAAAAATAGATGCCCAAGAATGTTTATTGCAATAAAGCTGAAAACCCAGGGCTACCTCAATAGGAGATGGTTTATCATGCCCTGGACTGTAAGCAGCGACCAAGGAGGAGGCCACAGATCACACAGCAAACAGACAGATGCTCCGAGGCTTACAATGGGGTTACGTCCCAATGAGCCCATCATAAGTTGAAAATACCCTAAGTCAAAAGTGCATGGAAAATGCAGCTGCGCCTGCTGTTGCCACCCAGCATCACAAGGGAAGTATAGTTTCTTAAAGTTCTATTGCTTTTGCACCATTATAAAAAGTCAGAAAATCACCTAAGTCGAATCATTAAGCCAGACTTGGCATTGGCCCATGACGAGTTAAAAGAGTAAGCTACAGAATAATACTCACGCTATCATCCACTTCTTCTAAAACCAACCTATACACATGTATTTAAGTTTAGGCATGTTTATCAAGCAGAACAAAAAAGTATAGAAAACGATACCAATTTGGCAGCAATTACATCAGAAAGACAGCGTGTCAGGCGACAGGTGAATGCTATCAGTACTACTTTAGATGCCCCTGTAATCTTTCATTGGTATGGAGAGCATATATGAAGTTTGTAATTTAAATAACAGAAATAAAGTGTATTAGAAGTGAAAAAATAGTACAGGACAAGCCGTTGCCATAGGGGCCCAGACACCTCACGTCTCAATAGCAGCCCTGCTCCATGACTTAGCTCATATGACATCAGCTGGGACACATCTGCCCCTCAGGGCACTGTTCCCAGTCTACAAAAGGGTCTTTCTCCCAGGCATGCTATCAAAAGAGTTTGGCCTTAACGAAGAAAAAATATTAAAATAATGCATTTTAATACAACTTATGTTCACACTTTTAAAAGTATAAATATTTTATAGGGAAAAATTTTCTAAAATTATCTATAGACATCCTTCTTCCAAAACTATTATGAAATATCACTGCTTTGCATAATTATTTTTCAAAGATGTTGGTTTATAAATAGAATAGGATACTTGCAAGTATCCTTATGTACATGAACCTTACATTTATGCTGTACCTTGAATAATTGAAGTTAATCCTGTTCACCACATACCACAGAGATACTCTTTTTTAAAAAGCATAACAACAAAAAAAGCCAGCCAGGCACAGTGGCTCATGCCTGTAATTCCAGCATTTTGGGAGGCAGACATGGGCACCTCTCTCAAGCCCAGGAGTTCAAGATAAGCCTTGGCAACATGGCAAAACTCCATTTCTACAAATAATGTAAAAATTAGCCAGATGTGGTGGCATGTGACTAGTCCCAGCTACTTGAGAGGCTGAGGTGGGAGGATTGCTTCAGCCTGGGAGGTCAAGGCTACAGTGAACTGTGCTCATGCCACTGTACTCCAGCGTAGGTGACAAAGCAAGACCTCATATTACTGATCATTCTCCTTCTCTACCCACAAAGGACAGTAGAGCTATCCCAGGCCGAGATACAAAAAAAAAAAAAAAAAAGAGAGAGAGAGAGAGAGAGAGAGAGACTGCAAAGTCTATAAAAGTTATCATAGAACGTGGAATTTTTTTTAAAACAGAAATTAAAATATTTTAATCTATAATTAAGATGCCCACGTACGCCTTATTAAATAGCTGATTATCTTTGATCCAGGAGAACATGTTGGCAGTCTTCTTTAAAAGAAAGGGAGCAACACAACCTCCTGAACATCAATATGCACTTCTCAATCTGAACAGGTGGTGGCAGTATTTAGTCTACCATCTAAAGTATAATTGCTTAGGATTTCCACTTATTTTACAGGACCTATCAGGATAATGTAGCAAAAGATGAACCCTCAAAGCAGGAGATACAGTTTTACAATTAATAAAAATTCAGTAAGCTATCCTGGACATTTTACATGTATGTGTGTGGAGTAAGAAAAAGTATCAAACAAATCGCTATTACTGCATCAAATATGGTCCTCTGTCCTTTTGACTGAGAACTCCATTTCACAGCTAAAGAAAAGCTATTTATTTCAGATCCTAAAAATTCTCAAGGAGACAAAGCAATAAAGGTAGCCACTTCAGTTTCAATTTATGTTTAAGAAACATAACAGATAGGTGAAAAGTAGAACTGGAAAAAGTAACCTGTTTCCTAACACTAGGTTCTTTTGCTATTTGATAATATCAGTGTCTTTGGGTGCAGAGAAGTTAATAAATGAAGCAAAGGCAACACTTCATGGACACCTACTGTGGCCAGGAGTTACATGGAGTAAAATGAAGCTGTTCCTGCTGCCCTTCAGCTTAGAACTGAGAATGGAAGGGAAAGCACATGTCCCAATGGTCACAGACGACATCCACTGGGACTGGGCAGGAGCTGGGTTAAGGGTAGAGACAGTGACAGCGACAGGAGTTGGAATCTAAGGCAACTCCATCTGGCCCGGGGATCAGGGATAACGTTCTGTCAAAGAGAGAAAGCTGGAGCTGAACGTGAACATAATCTGGAAGGATGGAGAGAGAGGGGAGGCGTTCTAGATGACCAACAAGCTAACCACTCCAGGTGGAGAAGGCGGCTCCTGTGTGGTAGCTATAGCAACAGGGAAGCCTAGAAAGCACTCAGGGCACTACAACAGGCCCAGGAACTGAGAGACTTCATCTGCGGCAGTGGATTTCCAGCAAGTCTAAGTGAAAAACTGGAGACTGATTTAGTGTCCACAACAGAGAAGACAGGAATAAGAAGTGAGCAGAGAGGGCTGGGCACTGCAAACCTCAGCGCTGAATGAGAGGAGGGATGCAGAATGTAGGCTCCACGAGGGACTCTGTCCATCTCATTTATGGCCATATCCCTATCTTTCAAACCAGGACAGAACAGGCACTTAAGGAAGATTTACTGACCGGCTGAGCAACTGCATAAATGACTGGATAACAGAATGAAGCCAGGGAAGAGCAGGCCAAGACAAGAAATAGCATCAGATTCTCGCCCTAACCCTGAATCAAACATAGGAAAACACAGTCTGTGTTCATCTGGATATCAGGTTAAAGGTCGGCCTGGTCACTGCCTTAGTCTTGGAGTCTGCCATTTTCACAGCTGTATTTTATGCCTGAATAATGACAGTGCCTGAGCTGACACGGGTCAGAAATGACTGTAAAAGTTGATCTTGGCAGGAGGAGGATTGGGTCTTGCCCTAACACAGGTTGTCAGATGATGGTCCTTCTCTCTTCCTCCTATATAACTGGTTAAAGGAAGAAACATAACTTGTGGTACAAACACAAAATTGTGAGTTGATTTGATTCCTTGCAACTATTCTCTCCACCTGTGCTGGTCAAAATCCTCCCTTCTACCTGCTAAGGGCATCTTGGGCAGATTTGATAGCATCAGGTTTACATTCAGATAGAAAATCTCCATCTAGCCTAACTTAGAATTCCAGTCCCATATATTTATGCAAAATTAGCTCTTCCCCCTATTACAGGCTATTTGGACTGGTGAGGGGTTTGCTCCGGCCCTCCCTCTCTCTTCTCTTTCTTTTAGGCCCCATCTGTGTACTGGGAGGATACATGCAGAGAGGGGATAAGAAAAGAGGTACATTTCTCTTTGCAAACCTAGGCAAGGTTGCCATTCTCTCTTCAACAGTTGAATGAGTTGGTCACCACTTCCCTCTCTGGCATAGTGTCTGGCAAGTGCTGAATCTCCCAAGGTATAGATGCAGGCTTTTGGAGGTGGGGAGTACACAGCTCACTGACATAGGAGAGCCACCTTGGCTTAAGCCTATTCCAGTCCACTCAGCTTCCCTCACCAGCATACCCACCACAGTCATCTGCAGCTGAAGACACCCGGTGGCTGAGCCCTTTCAGGAAGGGTGAAGCAAGATGGCTCCTGCTCAGCTTCCTTCCTCAGGGTCCACATGACCCATAGGACATTTCTCCATCTTTGCCCTGCCAAAGGGAAGGGGTGCAGATTGCTCCATGGCCACTGGGCACTGACCTCTTCCCAACTCTCTTCCCCCTGGTTGCTGCTATGATGGCCATCAGCAAGTGTGACACCCCAGAGTCCCCTCTCTCAGGCTCTCCTCATCTCTACCACTAATTTTCCTAGGTGACCCCTCCCAGGACTCGGCCAGTAGAAACCACCTACTCGCTAATTCCAGAGAAACAGAAAAACATTCCACGTGACATCCTGTTACGCAACTGAAAACTCGCTGACCTGGTGAAATCAGGGGGCATAACCACAGTGCAGTCTCTGGAGAAGGAGCAAGGACAAAAGGCCGGGCGTCACGGAGGCAAGTGTTGCCTCACCCTCCGCCCTTCTCTTTGTGCCTCAGCACCCCCTCCGCTAGCCCTGGCTGCCTCACAGGAGCTGGTGAAGGGTTCTCCAGCCTCACCAGCTGTGTGCTCAGAGGCGGTAACCCCGCAGAACCTCCACATGGAAACATGGCTTTGCTGGGTAATTTTTGTCAACAGAAAAAAAATACCATGGTCAAACACCTGGGTCAAACCCCAAAGTGGGCTCTAGGGTTACATAAGCCTGGATGTGAATCCGGGTTCTGCCCTCAACTGTGTGACCTTGGGCAAATTACTTAACCTCTTTTAAGTTCTATCCCTTATCCATGAAAAGAAAAAAACCCTCTTAACTTGCAGGATTCTTAAAAGAACTAAATGAGAAAGGGCCTGGCATTTTTACAAGCTCAGCAAAGTCCCAAAACAAATGAATGATAAAGTCATGAACAAGGTCGCAATAAAATAAGTTATCTCTCATTTGAAAATTCAACAAATACTGCATCAACACTTTCATATTTTCTTAATGCACCAGCCCCTAGCACTAATATGTGCCCTAACGAGCATAATTTTGTTGTGAATCAACATCCAATACATGCTTGAAGACTTCACTGACTTTGTCTCCCAATTTTTTCTTTTTCTTTCGAAACAGGGTCTCCCTCTATTGCCCAAGCTGGAGTGCAGTCACGCAATCGAGGCTCAGTGCAGCCTCCAACACCTGGGCTTAACCATCCTCCCACGTCAGACTCCCAAGTAGCTGGGACTACAGGCTCATGCCACCACACCCAGATAATTTTTTCTATCTTTATGGGGGTCTCAGTATGTTGCTCAGGCTGGTGTCTCCCAAAATCTTAATGTCAACAAGCAATTCAGAGACTTTCATCTGAACAGGTGGCTCTGGAAGTTCTTATGTGGGGCTAGCCTTGCTCAAAGGGCAGGAACGATCCAGGTCAGCTCCCAATCCTTTTTCTTTTTAGTGAAACCTGTGGGCAAACCTGAGAAGTGCCTGATTGCCAGAGTCTACACTTCCCAGAGCAAACTCAGTCTCCTGGCTACCAAGGAGGCCTCACATACTCTGGAACAAAAATCAACACACACAATCTTTAGAATAATGAAAGCTCTAAGCAAACAGTTTAAGCCTCACGTGAAGCGTGCATGCATGGATAAATGAGAAGCAGGCACGGCTTGCACAAGACCCCTGTTTTCTTTAATGGATCAGCGTCAAACTCACTGCTGAGAGTAAACACGCTTAGCGCTAAATATACACTTCAAATCAAATCCTTTGGATTAATTTATTTTAAATTTGGAATATGCCTGGCTCTCCAGCTGCCACATTTCCTAGAAGGTTTACACAACACAGTACATATCTGGATCACTCGTCCTAAAATTAGTAGGTGAATCTGTCTGGCTTTACTTAAAACTGAAAAAAAAAAAAAAAAAACTGGATAGGAAAAAGGCTTCCCAATCTCTACTCAGTAAAGCCCCTGTATTTTCTCTTCCTTTTCTTATCTTGTCTTATCTTCAGTGTATCTAAGCAGCTAATCATTAAATCATCTGCAACTATTAGGAAATTCAAAACAGCCCCACCTTGCAAACAAAGTGTACAAAGAAGAGGTGGCAAAGCAGTCACATTAGAAGGAAGGGTTTAAATGCAGTGACCCAGAGAGAAAGGCACAAAGTGAAAGAGAATAGTAAAAGCCAGAGATTTTCTGACATGTTTCAGTGAAAATCTTCCAGCAAAGAAGTGACTTTTTTCTCCAGTTTGAAACTTTTATCTGTGCGTTGTGCTCTGAGAATTTAAAAGGAAGGGACCCTTGACCTATAATCTAGTAGGATGTGAATGTGATCTAGCTGTAATATCGGTTTCATCACTGATCTCCATGACTGCTTTGCTCATCTGGCGTCGGTGGGTAGCGACTCCATCCTCACTACTCCACACACATCTCTCCCACTGTGTGCTTTGCTCCAAAGAGGACAGGATGGTTCTGATGTGAGGGTAGGAGTAGGGCACTGACCTTACTCTAGGAAAACATCACATTACATTATCCTGGACACAAATCATAATATTTGGTGACATGAGGTTCAGAGAATCTGTGAAAATCACCAAGGCCTGAGTATCCACACAAAGGATTCAGTTCTCATGACTTCTCGTATCACCAGTGAGTATAGACCGTGTTTATAATTACCTCTTACCAACAGAGTACACTTTTAAATGACTTGAACTGTTGGTTTTATTTTCTCCTTCCTTGTAATTTTTTTTAAATTTCGTTGTAATGTTTATTTCCTATGTTCTTTTTGTTAATACCATCACTGACATATAATTCACATGTGACACCATTAACCCATTTAAAGCAAACAACTCAAGGGTGTCTGGTATAGCCACAGAATTGTGCAACCATCACCATGATCTTATTTTAGAACATTTTCATCACCCCAAGGAAAATCCGCTACCCATTAGCAGTCACTCATCATTTCCCTCCCTTCCCCCAGCCCTAGGCATACCATCAGTCTACTTTCAATGGTTATGAATTTGCCTACTTGGAATATTTCATGATTCCTTTGTGACAGACTTCTTCCTCTTAGCATAACACTTTCAAGATTTGTCCATGCTGCAGTATGTATCCGTAGTCCATTCCTTTTCATGGCTGAATAATATTCCATTTAATGGACTTGCCATATTTTATAAATCCATTCTCTGCTGATGAACATTTGGTTACTTATATTTTTGGCTATTACTGATAATGAACAAATATTCACATACAACTTTTTATGTGGACGTAAGTTTTCATTTCACTTGGTTACGTACCTAGGAAGGAAATGCTGAGTCATATGGCAACCCGATGTTTAACTAAATTTAAGGTCCTCATGGTTTTATACCTTTTCTGTATTGAAAAAAAAATTTCAAACTCTAACTTAGGAAGTGAAAAGTTTCTTAAAATGAACTTCTCGCCCCACAGGAAAAACCACTGTCAACAGTGTGGTATACATTCCCCCCATTTTTTTTAATGGGATTGCATTCAACATAATTTCTCTATCCTACTCTTGTTGCTTAACAGGACATCCTGGACTTCTCGGCTTCCCACACAAGGAGACAGGACTGAATGTTCATCTTTCTCCTCAGTCACAGGTCCAGGCACATTTTCACTATTGGCATGAAAAGTGCGATGCCAAATATGCTGACTAAGGGGTGTTCCATTCTGTCACCTCATTCTGTCCACTACAGTCAAAGCACTGGTAGGTGATTCTGTGTCCATCCCTCTGGGGACGCCACTTGTTGATGACTTTTAAAAGAATTGGGTCTAAGAAGAAAAACCGGAAACTGTATTGAACTTAATTAACACTGATTCTCCTTAAAGAAAAAAAAAGTAAGGCTGAGTGGAAGGTAAGTATAAGATCAACGTGACTCATCCCTTGATGTCTAGATTTATTATTTCTTATTGGTTTGCTTAAATTAGAAAATTAATGTATTAATACATATGTAATTGTAAAATAATGATTTTCTAACAACAAACAAGTCGAAAGCCCTCTACCTCCCCAAATTTTACTCCCTTCTCCAGGGAATTTTAACAGTTCCATGTTTATCCTTTCCGATCTTTTTCTATACATTTTTACATACCTACAACTTTTTTTTTAAATATAGTTTTTAAAAAATTTACATATTTTATAAATCTTTCCAGGTCACAGGTATAGACTACTGCAAGTTGAATTTGAAAAATAATATGAGTACCTTGCAACAATTGAACTGCTGGAGCTCCAAACTGAATTTTCTTGTCAGAGCAGAAAGAGTTGTTTGAGAAATAAACCCAGTACTAATTTGGTTATACTTAGGAGCACAATCTCCAAAAGGAAGCCACATTCATTTGGGTGCCCCTGTGTGACCAGCACAATGCTAGGGGCAGGGGAAATAGAAAATGTACTTGCATAGTCAGAGGCTTCAGGAGCACTGGACCTCCAGGAAGCAGCCAGCAGGGTGCCTAGATACAGACTATGCCAAGAGGAACCACCCCTTTGCAGATGAAGCAACCTGCACAAGACATGGCAGTCGGCTAGCCTTTGCCTTGCCTCCGGTTTCACAACTCAGGTGCAAAGACATGCATCTCAATGGTGACACTTACTTTAGGCCGGGTGTCAACAACATAAACGAAGTCACTTCCTGGATTGGCTTTCCTAATGGCCTGGAGCATCTGCTCGTCCTCTAGGCACCGGGCACTGAAGCCAGACAGGGGCTGGCTGCTCCGGCAGATGGAAGCCTGGTGGGAGAGGTCACAGCAACACAGCACTGTCAGGTAACTGTACCCATGAGAGACACTCTCCTTGTGTCTCCAGAACAAAGAGCCCTTGGCTCATTGATAGTCCACCTCCGCTTACGAAAACATGATACAGCTTTCTGGAAATCAAGACTTGTTTATTTTTAATTCAAGTCAAAGAAATCACTAATGGGCAAATGACACAAAAAGCCTCTCAGGGCAAAATATTAGGAATGTGTAGAGTTGTTTAGATAGGATCTAAGTTATGAAATTTAAAACCATTTAAATAACCTACTTTCCTTTTCACTGGTATTGTTTCATTTTCCTGCCCAAAGAAGAAATACAAAATAATTAACTGTTCTCCTCAAATGTACAGGATACTATTAATGGCAAGATTAGTGAAATAAAAAAAAATTTTTTTAATGCTTTCCAACCTTTTTTTTCCCTTTACTAGCCTATCTAGAAGCCACAAATACCAAAATCCCATTCTGATTCTAAATAGGAAACTTTCATGGTGACAAAAGGCCAGGCTGCTGCTAGGTTTGATACCTAAGGACAGCAGGCACATACCTATGCTAACTTAAGTCTGTTCAGAAAGAGGGGTACTTTTTTTTTGGAATCAATCTGCATTCTCTGCTGCAAGCCCCCTACCCTGCAATTCTGGAAGAGTATACTGCACTGTCAAGTGAACATCTAGAAGAACATAAACATTTCCCTAAGTTATGAAAACGAGGTACAGACCTAACCTTGCAGCTATAAACTTAGGCTTTTGTGGCAAAGTACTTTTATGGATTTAGGTTTTAACATTTAAATTAAACATAAAACACCCAATAAAATGCATGAATGACTCAAAGCATCTACAGTGAGACTATAAGTCCACAGTGTGAAAGAATGAAGGCAGGGAGAGAAGCCCTCCATGCAGGATAATATGGAGGGGAAACTTTCACTGAAAATAGTCCTGTCATACCATGGCCTATTCAGGATGCTGGCATTGCAGGGTTCTATCCATTAAGGGACACCCCAAATCTTAGTCCAATTACAGCTTAATTGTCTTTAAAGCCCAACCCAGGGAAACTTAACATGGGTTTGGATTACTCAAAAGGGCCTGGGTGGTCCTTGTTGGAGAAGGTGGGGACACTTCTCACTAGCGCTGAAGCTGGAGAACCATAGAATGGCTGGACATATGATAGGGCCGTTGTCTGAGGGCGCCAGTACCATTCTGCAGAGACAGACAATCACTGAGGAGGTTAAAGGAAGCCTGAGACCAACAGCCAGGCTCAGAATTCAGGGGGGCAAGGTATGGGAGTGGGAAGCAAAGGGGCAGCAGAGTCACTCCAGGGTGGCTCCTTCCTGACTTCTGGGGAGGAGAAAAAGATCACAAGGGTATGAATATGGAAGAGAGGATGGCAAGCAATGGCAAGGCCACCAGCAAGAGGAAGTGATGGCGGGGATCCAGAGGAGAGCAAAGGCAAGCTACATCCAGCGTCCAGAAAGCAAATGAAACAGATGGATTTCGTGGTGGTCCTGTTTCCTTTGATCTTTAAGGGGTAAGGGGCTGCCACCTGCTGAGAGGGAATTCTGCCTGGAGAGAGAATAACTCTAAGCTGGCTTTAGATGATACTTTATCTGGGATAAAGAAATATTAGTTGGCCGGGTGTGGTGGCTCATGCTTGTAATCCCAGCACTTTGAGAGGCCGAGGCAGGCCGATCACCTGAAGTCAGCAGTTTGAGACCAGTCTGGCCAACACGGTGAAACCCGTCTCTACTAAAAATACAAAAATTAGTCAGGCATGGTGGTGCACACCTGTAATCCCAGCTACTTGGGAGGCTGAGGCAGAAGAATTGCTTGAACCTGAGTGACAGAGTTTGCAGTGAGCCAAGATGGCACCTCTGCCCTCCAGGCTGGGTAACAATGAAACTCTGCCTCAAAAACAAAACAAAAAAAGAAAAAGAAAAGAAAAAGAAACATTAGTTAAGAACAGCTGCCACTAGGCAATCTTAGATTCCATCAGAAGGGTTAGATGGGGATGGGAATGTATTTAAACGGTGAGAATTTGAGAATATACACACCAAAACTCACTAAAGTAGTGAGAAACCAATTACAAAATGAAGCAATTTAGGGACAACAACTATTTCAAACTACCTTCTGGTCTAGGACAGCTAGTCAGAACTGCTATGCTATGGAATGTGGTCGATAAAACACAGATACTAAACAGACTACATTTTTGGTATTCTGTAGTTAGATTTTCTTAATAATCTAAAGATGTGCTCTAAATGGAATTTAACATGGACTCAGCAGTTGCTAACATGGTTTTAAATTTTGTGCAGAAGGGTAAGTTGTCTTAGTGCTTTTGTGTACCTTATATACACCCTAGGTAGATTATCCAAAGAGTATTACTATTATTTGGCAGCATTTCTTACTGATGTCAGAGCATAGATTAAAAGCTCTTCAGTTGTAAGTTGTAAAGGATAGCGCTCATTTACAATGCTACTAATAATTAAAAATCTAACATTTTTGATGGCTTACTACTGTCATCTTACTACTGTGTTTTTGAGTGTTTATATGACAGACACTATTATAGGAACTTTGCATATTTTTATTTAATTAGCCTAATTATCATATACAACAGACGTATTCTTTGCTCCACTTTATACATGAAGTGACCAAGGCACAGAGAGGTTAAGGAACATACTCAAGATCACACAGTAAATGGGGAAGCCTAGATTTGAATCCAGACAGAGTATTTCCTGATCCTGAATTCTTACAAAGTGATGTAAGCCCTGATGGGAGAAATAGGTCAGGCAACACAAAATAGCATTAAGATGCAGCATAAAGCCGGGTGCTGTGGCTCATGCCTATAATCCCAGTACTTTGGGAGGCCGAGGCAGGTGAATCACCTGCGGTCAGCAGTCGCAGTTCAAGATCAGCCTGGCCAACATGGTGAAACTTGTCTCTACTAAAAATACAAAAATTAGCCAGCATGGTAATGCACGCCTGTAATCCCAGCTTCTTGGGAGGCTGAGGCAGGAGAATCCCTTGAACCTGGGAGGTTGAGGCTGCAGTGAGCTGAGATCATGCCACTTCACTACAGCCTGGGTGACAGAGCAAGACTCCATCTCAAAAACAAAAAAAAAAGAGATGCAGCATAATAAAAGACCTGGCTGTCAGTCCTGGCTGTGCTCTCGGTCAGTGTACCATCTTGTTTACTTTATGTATCTTCTCTGATCCCCAGTTTTCTCATGTATAAAATGTCTAAAATATTAAAACTACAGGGTGTAATAAGGGGCATAATACTGTAACACTTCTGGCACTGTGTCTAACACACAGGAATTAATACAACAAGTATTAAATTATAAAAACAGAGCATGAAGTTATTTTTTTAAGGAAATTTGCCTCACTGGAAATCTTCCAGAGTTTCGTTTTCTAGAAATGTGTACTGTTAATTTAGGAGACCATGTTGTGCACCATGTGAAGCAAAACTAAAAAAAAAAAAATCCTAACATAATAAAGAATAAAGGGTGTAGCAATTCTAAGACCTCTCATAGAAAGACACACAGAATTCTGAACATACATGACACTCAGCCTCTCTAACCATAACCTGTAAAGCTGTTAATCGCTGGATATTCAAAGGGAACCCACAGGCTCTACATATCCCGTGTGCATAAGGCATAAAGTTAATATTGTGTGTTGCCTCGACATCTGGTAAAAACTGAGAGGGCCTCAAAAGGCCTCAAGTTCCCTGCCACAGTCTGCTCCTATGGATAAGGTTCCCGAGTGAAACAATTCTCCTTATCCAGCATAGCAGGTGTAGCTCCTGCCCATCCCTCGGTAGCAGGTTTCAGTTCCCTACCAGTCCATGGAATTATGCTAGCAAGCTAATCACACCCTCCTGCAGGAGCCAAGGCTGACCCCACGCTCCTGATACTACACAGCCTGCCTCCTGCAGCCCCTTGCTCCTCAGTGCAACCTCAGGTGTCCCTTCGTGGGCTGTGGTGTTCTACTTCCCCTAGAATTGAGTGTATGGTGACCGGTAAAATGGCTGTTCATCTCACATGTCCAGCGTCAAGTGTTGTGTGTCTGGGTGTCCCTGTAACCTACAGCAGGAATCCTTCCCTCACCACAAGGGTGAAAGGATGTGATTATCGCCATTAAAAGTAATGGCAAAAACCGCAATGACTTTTGCACCAATCTAACACATGCATGGTAACAGCTGATCCAAAGGGAAAGATGTACCTTCAGCAGGGGCCTTTATATCAACCAGAGCTTCAGGTTCATAAAAATCAGATACATTTCAAGCTTCTCCTAATCTAATCACCAATTCCCAGCACCCAACATTAGCCAAGTCATGTCACTGCCAAAATCAGAAGTGTCTCTGTGGTAACATACATGGGAAACAATATTTTAACTATAAAATGCAATACACTTACTCATAAGCATAAGTTATTTTTGGGTAGAAGTACATACTCTTAAGCCTAAAATGTCTCAAATAACCAAAGAGAAGAAAGAAAGATCAGCAAATGGATGGAATGTATACCTGTTTACTTTTTCTGGAAGACTGCCTATTTTCTATGCAGCCATTGATGAGCAATGGCAGCACAGATAACTACTCTGCTATTTCAGCATCTTCCATTTAACCACAGAAATCCACCTTTGGTAATAATACTTTCCTTTAGGAAAAGCCCTAGTCAAATCAGAAGCATTTATATAATTAACCTTGATATTAAAACATCAACACTGTAATAAAACACAAATTTGATCATTATTCTACCTGTAAAATAGATTTCAGTTCATGGGGTTGGGAGAGTGGGCACGCAAGTGTGTGTTCATTCAGGACTTCCCTGGCGTAACCCAATCGCACTGCAATGCTCTGAAACACATCTCTGTTCTGTACCTTGGAAGAGCTAGAACTTCAAGTCATTTCTGCTTTAAAATTTTAAATATGGGAAATCAATTATCTTAAACTCTAACTATGCTACGTGAGTCCATTTTCAGGCCTAGAGATCAAGTAAAGAATAGCACTTGGGGAAGCAGGAGTGGAGCCACGTGGGTCTGAGGTCAGCCAGGGAAGAAGCTGTCTCTGAGGTGTAATTGCTAAAAATTATCTCCTTTCTGAGACAATACACATTTAATCCTTATATTACTCACACTGACAAAAATAAAACGTCCTTTGTCTCAAGAATATTAAAAAAAAGGGCTGCTAGGCACACTGTGCATACTTTTTAGATATTCTACAGACAACAATAAAACACCTCTGAAACATCAATAAAAGATCCTTTCTCCCTCTCCTGGATTTGTCTTCTCTCTTACTTCTTTAATCAATGGATGCTACAATAATGTGCATGTTACCAGCACCCTAAATTCAAGTACAACACCATAAAATTTCATATCCCTATTTATTCTGTCTTTAACACTAACAACAAAGAGGCCAGACACGGTGGCTCATGTTTGTAATCCCAGCACTTTGGGAAGACGAGGAAGGTGGATCACTTGAGCACAGGAGCTTGAGACCAGCCTGGGCAACATGGCTTTCCTCATCTCTACAAAAAATGCAAAACATTTAGCTGGGCGAGGTGGCACGCACGTGGTCCCAGTGACTCGGGAGGCTAAGGTGGGACGATCACTTGAACCTGGGAGGTCAAGGCTGCAGTAAGCCAACACTGTGCCACTGTACTCCAGCCTGGGGGACAGAGTGAGACCTTAATAATAATAAAATAAAATAATGAAACAAAATAAAATATAAAAAAGCCAGCCCAGGCAGCTTAGCAAGACCATGTCTCTACAAAAAAAATTATCTTCTCTACAAAAAAAAAAAAAAAACCCAAAAAAATCATGTTTTTAGACTTAGCAGGTGTGGTAGTGTGTGCCTGTAGTCCTAACTCCTTGGGCAGATGAGACACGAGGATGCCTTGAGCTCAAGAGTTTGAAGTTACAGTGAGCTATGAAGCTATGATTATGATGCTGCACTCCAGCCTGGGCGACAAAGCGAGACCTTGTCTCAAAAAAAAAAAAAAAATCACATCTTTTTTAGCTTCTAACCAGTGCTCCAGTTCTGTGTAGGCTGAAATATATTTGGAGTTAATAAAATACTTTAGACCCTAATTCAGGGCTAGGGAAAGAAGATAAATCAATGTAAGTAAAAATAAGATAATTTATATCCTTCCAATTCACAGAACTTTCACCACTAAATGAATATTTTCCTTCGAAGTAGCAACAGAGAAGGCTACATGCTCACTCTGATGAAGCTGGCATTGCTCAAGGTATTTTTGGAAGCCTACAGAATCTGACTCAGACCCTGCTCTACCCCCTTGCTTATAGGTGCAGGCGTGTGCATACACTTAACTCATACACTCCCCTGTTTATAGCCTCATTCAGCTTTGAATCCAAAACTGTTTTATCTTGCTTAAAAACTAAAGTTTCTCTCTCACCTGGCTAAAGCCAAATAACTTTTTGTTTTTTTAAAGATGGTTTTTGGCCAGGCGCAGTGGCTCACACCTGTAATCGAAGCACTTTGGGAGTTTGAGGCAGGCGGATCACGAGGTGAGGAGAGCAAGACCATCCTGGCCAACATGATGACACCCTGTCTCTACTAAAAATACAAAAAATTAGCTGGGCATGGTGGCACACACCTCCAGTCCCAGCTACTTGGGAGGCTGAGGCAGGAGAATTGCTTGAACCTAGGAGGCAGAGACTGCAGTGAGCCGAGATCACACCACTGCACTCCAGCCTGGGCGACAGTGCAAGACTCTGACTCAAGAAAGAAAAAATGTGTGGGTTGTTTTGTTTTTTGGTTTTTGTTGTTTTTGTTTTTTTGCTATCTTTTAAAAGTGAATGGCAAAGACCATTCTTGCTCCTCCAAATTTGTGTTCCTATACTACGCAGAACTGAAATTCAAGTTTTAGCTGTTTTAATGGCCCCTCATAAGACTGTACTTTCATACCTGCCCTGCAAGGTTCTGATGAATGGGAGGTGTCATGTGGCAGTATCTGGCAGCCTTTCTCAAAAAGCTGGGCACACACTATTAGCCCTCCGTCACCTGCCACCTGGAGTGTGTGGGTGGTAATTGTACTGAATCGATCTCTTGCCCCAGGCAGGTGACAGCTAAACCCAGGGGGTGGCAGAGCAGAAAGGTGGAAGGAACTTCAGTACCTGAGGGCTAAGTGGGATAAAGCCAGGCTACTAGGCCAGGACTGCCCACCCTGAGAATTTTATGCAAGGGAAAAAAAATTACATCCTATTAGAGCCATTATTACTTAGAGTCCTTAATATAGACAAAGCCAATTCTGGCTTTTATAAGTAATATTTAAAAAATAAAACCCATGCTCTCTATAATCAAAGATTTCTTACACTGAGGACACTCAAAAGAACATGTCATTTAAAAACAGATAGTAAGGTCAGGTGGCTCACGCCTGTTAATCTCAGCACTTTGGGAGGCGAGGCAGGTGAATCACCTGAGGTCACGAGTTCCAGACCAGCCTGGCCAACATGGTAAAACCACGTCTCTACTAAAAATACAAATAATAATAATAATAATAATAATAATAATAATAGCTGGGTGTGGTGGCAGGTGCCTGTAATCCCAGCTACTGGGGAGGCTGAGACAGGAGAATTGCTTGAACCTGGGAGGCAGAGGTTGCAGTGAGCCCAGATTGCACCACTGTACTCCAGCCTGGTTTACAGAATGAGACTCCGTATCAAAAAGAAAAAACAAACAAACAAACAAATAACAGAAAATAGAAAAGAATAGGCCATGGACCTCGGCAACTTTTCTAAGATAGGCATGCCACACATCTCCAGCACTGAATAAGCACTGAGCCTCCCAAGGTGCCCACTTAGAAGAGGACAGTGACAGTATTCACTTGGATGATTAGGCTTAGGAACTTTCTGAATTTATTGAGTCATTTTCTGAATCATTACTTTACTATCAAATAAACATGGGAGGTCTAATGAGATAAGGACTTCGCATAGTTATATCATGCATACCATGCACATGAATATCCACACACTTTCTGAAGAATTCAAACACGCACAAACACACAGTAGAAGGCAGCTAGAAAATGCCTGCTTATGATAAAACAAGAAAAGCAAAGTGTCAAACAAAAGCATGCCTTGAGACTTACGTGGTTATCTTTATAGTAGTAAGAAAGGACAGGAAATCGCCGTCTACTCCGGAATTTGGAACTCCCCACTATGATGTGTGCCGTGGCCGATTTGGGAACGTACAGTTCAGTAGGATAAGAGTCACAAACCTGTCACCAGAAAATACAAAGGGATTTTTTTAAGGCAATCTAGTAATGCCCTGTAAACTGCTGCCAGAAATTCCACTTGACCACGCTTATAGGCTGTATCCTTAAGTTCCATTAACCATGTTACAAAGGAGGTTATTTCAAGGAAACCATAAGCCACTTCAGAGGAACAAAGTGCCGCTGATTCTGTGTAATCATTCTGAAGGAACACAAGGTATCCTTAGTGTCCTGTCCTTGTGCACTGTCCCCTCTCTCCAAGGGCTCTTTGTGCCAGACCAGTAACAATAAAGGCTTCCTTCATCAAACAGAGACACACTGCAATTTTGCATCCTGGCTGAGAAAACTTTAGCTGCCAGGGTTTGGTGGAAAGATAGAATGACCCTGAGAGAGAGTTCTCCTAAAACATATGCACGCTGGTTAAGCCAGCAGGTTACCTCTGTGGCTCCAACATGCCCTATGTGCATTCCTGATCCTGAGCCATTGCACAAGCTGATGCCTCCCCAGACACTCCTGCGTTCCACCTTCCAAATCCCAGCTATTCTTTAAGGGCCAATCCAAGTTCCACCTCCTTCTGGAAGCCTCTTCCTTGACCTTCCAGCCCATGCAGATTTCCAGATCTGATTTCCTAATGTGCCACACATTACCGCACAATATAGCAGCTTCATTTTTGTTTCTTAAGTGTTGATTTTGTAACTGGTAAGAATCTATGTACTCTTTGTATGCATCCCTCACAGTGATTACCACAGTGGAATGGTGCCTTGGAAGGATCTTGCAATTCAGAAACAGAAATCGGCAGTTTAGAACCTGGCTCTAATTGAGCAACTTCATGACCCTGGGGAAGCCAGACTACATTGTGCACTGTGGTTTGCTAATCTCTAGAAGTGATACTGCAGCAACAATATCTCATGGGGTTGACAGATGGATCAAATCTGGTAACAGCCATGGCAAAGCACTGCATAAACCACTAAATCCAAAACAAATGTTAGTGGTAGCAACAGTGATTAATTGCTGTTCCTCGACACATTTTGCTTTCACATCAGTCCATCAATCTTTTTGCAATGTGAAGATCGCCCACATGGTGATTTGTCAAGCACCTGTTTACTTCCTGGATGTTCAACATCTTCCTAGGCATATCAAGGGGGTCCTCAAGTAGATGCAACAATAGGAGTGGATTAGTCCATTTTCATATTGTATAAAGAAATACCTAAGACTGGGTAATTCATAAAGAAAAAGGTTGAATGGGCTCACAGTTCCACATGGCTGGGAGGCCTCACAAGCAGAAGGCAAAGGAGGAGCAGAAGCGTGTCTTACACAGCAGCATGTCTTACACAGGCAAGAGAGCATGTGCAGGGAAACTGCCCTTTATAAAGCTATCAGATCTCGTAAGGCGTATTCACTTTTATAAGAACCGCATGGGAAAATCCCACCCCCATGATCCAATTACCTCCCACTGGGTCTCTCCCATGACATGCGGGGATTATGGGAGCTATGATTCAAGATGAGATTTGGGTGAGGACACAGCCACCCATATCAAGGGGAAATACTTTATGTGCAGGTCCTGTGTCCATCTCCAACCACCCTTACCACTCTGGAACATGGGGTTGAAGGGAATGAAAACGCACAACTGAAGTCTAAGCCTCTTACAAAGTCTTCTGTGATGATGCTTCCCTTGCTGGCCTACGTTGTCTTTGTTACCAGAATGAGGAACATAGAGCAGGGAATAAAAGGGCCACAGAAGAGATTTTCACAGGCCCAAAGTCTAATTTCAGAATTCTGCCAGACATTTTAGTTCAAATTACACTTTGGGCCTGTGAACACCACTAAAGATTTTAACATGGGCTCTGGCACTGATACTCTGAAGGAAAATCTGCCAAGAACAGAAGGCTCAACTAACTTGAACTCAGAGAGCTTTAGCTGGGAGGACTGCCATAAACCACTACACTCCCTCCCCCATGCCAATCTGCTGTCTGAACTTCCATGAAGTCAGCCAGCTAGAACACTACAACATGGACCACACCTGTTTGTCTGAGGTTCAAGAGACATGTAGTCATTGCACCAGACCGACAACAGTTTCCTAAAATAACGGTTTTTAAAAGGAAGGAAGTAGATTTTCAGTAAGTTGGGAATTACCTACATTCCTCCTTGTAACAACACTAAGGAATTGCAAAGTTTCATGATTAAATAAGAGTAAATAACATGCAAGATTTGTCAGCATGCTTATTTTGCACAGCCTCTCTGAAGAGCAGTAGGCAACCTGTGAACTAAGGAACTCCTGCCAGGCCTTTTTATTGTCTTCTAAGGCAAAATAAATAAATAAATAAATAAACAAACAAACAAACACACACCCAGGTTCGCCAGCATCACGGCCCTCTGTGCACCACAGCTGGAATGAGATCAAAGAGAGAAAATCAACACCTAGAGCCCACTCTCCTTGGCCCCAATTGATGGCCCTCTTTATTCACACAGGGAGCAAGGAAGACTACCTTCTGCCCTCTAAGAGTACCAGAGCTCTCACTCGACAAAATAGAGACATGTAGACTTTCATGGCTTGGCATGTGCCAGGACCAAGAGCTCAACAACCTGTGCCTAGTCACCAGTGGCCAGGCTTATCAGACGTGGAGGCCTCTCCTCTAGGAACACAATACCAGGTATGAGGATTTCTACATTCTCCAGCACACTGGGTCTAGGGGAAAAAGTTCCATGGGTCAGGGCTTAAGTTATAAAGCATTCTGATGCATACTTGCTTGCGGAACTCTAAGAAGCTAAAATGACTTTGGGAAAATCAGATTCAGGTGTCAGTTAACATGGGAAGATACAACCTCTTACCAAGCTGGAAGCATGGATATTTGTCCTGCTTTCATCAAAGTAGACAGCACTCTCAAATGGAAATTAAAATAACAATCCTGCCTTGAAAATATAAAGTACCACTGAAAGGAATTAAAGATACAAATAAATGGTAAGATATCCTGTGTTCACAGATTGGAAGACTTAATATTGTGAAGATGTCCACGCTACCCAAAGCAACCTATGGAAACAAGGCAATCCCTATCAAAATCTCAAGGGGATATTTTTGCAAAAGTAGAAAAATTCATCCTAAAATTCACATGGATTCTCCAGGGACTCCAAAGAGCAAAAAACAATTTTGAAAAGGAACAAAGTTAGAGGACTTATACTTCATAATTTCAAAACATAGTACAAAGCCATATCTGCTTTGCAGCAATCGGTGTGGTACTGGAATAAAGAAAGAAAAATAGACCAATAGAATAGAGAACCCAGAAGTTGGAGACCAAGGCGGGTGGATCACCTGAGGTTGGGCGTTCAAGACCAGCCTGATCAACGTGATGAAACCCCATCTTCATAAAAAAAAAAAAAAGAGAACCCAGAAGTACACCCTCACATATGTGGTCAAATGATCCTCAACATGGGTGCCAAGACCACTCAATGTCTCTTCAACAAATGGTACTGGGAAAACTGGATATCCATATGCAAAAATAAAATAAAATAAAGACAGGTCCTTATCTTGTACCATATAGAAAAAATAACTCAAAATGGACTAAAAACCTAAACACAAGACCCAAAAGTATTAAAATCCTAGAAAAGAACATAAGGGACAAGCTTTATGATGTTGGAGTTGGCAGTGATTTCTTATGCATGACAGTAAAAGCAGAGGTAACAAACACAAGTATTAGACAAATGAACTATATCAAACTTAAAAACTTTTATGCATCAAAGGACACAATCAAAAGAGTGAAATGGCAACCTACATAATGGGAGAAACTATTAGTAAACTGCATATCTTAGGGAAATGAAAATCAAAACCACAATGAAATACTGCTTCACAATTGTTAGGATGGCCACTATTAAAAAATAAAAGAAAGAAAACATAATAAAACAAGTATTGGTGAGCATGCAGAGAAAATAAAACCCTAGTGCACTGTGAATAGGGATGTAAAATTATGCAACCACTATGGAAAAAAGCATGGATGCTCCTCAGTAATTTAAAAATAGAATTCCTATACAATCCAGCAATCCCACTTCTGCATATATGCCCAAAAGACTTGAAAGCAGAATCTCAAAGAGATATTTGCACAGCCATATTCACAGAGCATTATTCACAACACTCAAGAGGTGGAAGCAACCACCCAAATGTCCATCAAGTGATGAATGGATAAGCAAAATGTGGTATATCAATACAATGAAATAGTACTCAGTTCTAAAAAGGAAGGAAATCCTGTTACATGCTATAATTACAGATGAACCTTGAAAACATTAAGTGATATAAACCTGTCACAAAAAGAAAATGCTGTATGATTCCACTTACAAGAAGTAGCTAAAGTAGTCAAATTCATAGAAACAGGAAGCAGAATGATGGTTGCCAGGGGCTGTGGTAGGTGGGAATGAAGATATGTTTAATGGGTACAAGAGTTTCAGTTCTAGAGATGAAGAGTTCCAGAGATCTAGAGTACAACAGTGTCAATATACTTAACACTCCTAAACTACACCCTTAAAAATGACTTAAGATGGCAAATTTATTTTATGCACTTTTTAATCACAATGAAAAAAGAAAAGGAAAAACAATCTTAGCACTGACTGCCGTCATTTTGGCAAAAAACTCACAGAGCTGTAGCCAAAATTCTGACAATAAATAATGCGCACAATGATGCAACGTATGCCACTAATTTTAAAACACCTCAGTATGCCACTCAAGATTTTGTCTGGTCTGGAAAACCACCAGACAAAATTCAGAGAGAATATGAGAAGTTCAGAGAAATGGAAAATGTTTTTCTCCTGAATTTTCTTTACATGGACTCTGCCTTAGTTAATGAAAGTGGATTAGTAAGTTAATCATTTTAGCATTTTTTTTTTTTTTAATGAATAAGGAAACCGATTTTCTTTGTGCTCCACTAAATTAACTGGCCTTCCTGGAGTGCTCACAAGCCTTGGTGCTGTCCTGGCAAGAGGAATCTTTTGGTAATTCTTTCACTCATTTAACAAGGTTCTAC